AAATATGATTTTATCGAGAGTTAAACAACGACCATATTCTACCGCAGTTCGCATCAACGCTGTATGGAAGTGGGAGTCTGAATTACTGTCGTTAATATCTGTACATATAAAAACATGAATAATCAAACTAACAACATCCTCGAATTCCGCAAAACCAACAACGGTAAGAGAGCAGTTAAACGAAGTGAAAATAATTCGATCAGAGTCGATGAGTCTGAAGGCAAAGCAGGCAAGCGAACAAATGTAGACAATAATAAGTGGAGGCAATCAACAGTCAATTGATAGGCATCATTCAAATTGTGATTATCTGTAGGCGTTGCTTTATGTGGCCATGTTGAAGAAGTTTTCAGATATGGAATCACAAACATACCATTTTCACATTACATCTACACGTATGCGCTTATAGAACGTCAACATACGAATAAAAAAACTTAATGGCACCTTCATTTTTCGGGTTTATGACTGGATCAAAACCTGCAAAATGGTTGAATGTGAGCAGGGCGCCGCAATTTTCGGATAATTTGGTTTCAAGAAGTACACTATCAAACAATATTATTCAAGGCATTTGCCGTAAACATTTTGTTATGAAAACAGTTAAAATACAGTATCAGGTGAAGAACACAGTGGAATACATCCGAAAAAAACAGCGCGTACACAATGTATGTATTGTTTTTTTNTTTTTTTGGTTATATTCAACTGCGTTCTTCACTTGGTTTAACACTGTACTTTTCGTATCGCATTGAGGCAAAGCAATTATATCAAAACCTACAATTTTATTCCCGTTTCGATTGGAAATCCAGTGGTTTCAACGCTCCGATGCAGTCTCCATAGACTCGTTGAAAAAGATGTATTTTTTAGGTTCGAATGTCTAAATGCTCTAAAATGTGCGCATCTGAATTCAGTATGAATGAAAACATTTCAATTGGAGTAGTCGAAATATTTCGAAAGCATAGAGATACCACTACTTCAACAATTCAGTTTCTCTATGTAAACCGCTTCACGCAGTTCAATATTACATCGGATAAACTGTTCTCAAAGTGCACCAAAAAATCCAATAACTTGTGCTATCTTTAATGAACACACCCAGACACATTAACCCATCAACTCATCCGTAGTAATAGATATTCATTTGCGTCATAAGCAAATGAATCAATCCGTTCGGATGCACCCAATTCAATCGGATCCAATGCAGTCGCAGAGCCCAACATCAAATACATAAATCTGATATGGAACATGGTAATCAGAGCATATCGATAGACGAAGTTGTTACCGGATGATGTTGGCTCTCGACCGTACACTTCTACCGTACTTTAGATAGAGCTGAATGTGGTCATAGCTCGAAAGAAGGAAGTGAACTTCTTCTAAAGTCGATGAGACGGACGTTCGGTAAGTCGTTAAATTGGTTGAGTTCATTTATTTGTCGTTTGTTCGCATCATCGATACTAAAGTTGTTTGCATGTGTACCATTCAAGAGCAAGAATGCTTCTTGTTTAAGAACAATGAAACGTGCATTTAAGAATCAACTGAATGTATTTGCAACTTAATAGCGCATTGCGTCTCATATTTATCAATCTAGTAATTACACTGCTTGGCGGATATTTGTTTTTTGGTTGTCTTTCAAACACATCTGAACAAAATGATTTCAACTAACAGAAGATTCAACAAAGCAGTAGGATTCGTTTCATTATATTTCGACGGTGAGAAATGAAAACCGTTGAACTTTTCCGGTTATTGAAATATGTTATTCGACCTGATGATGATTAATTGTAAATCAGAACGATGATGCTAATCATAATTGTTAATGCAACGGTAGAACGATGGAGTTTTGAAGATTGTACACAAGAAGTTCTATTAGGTGAAAAGTTCGGAATTTGTATCACGTTTAACGTCATAGCAATCAAAAATAGACTTTTGATGATGCGAAGTAATCAGTCAATGCCACAGCATTCAGTTTGAAAAAAATGATACCGAGCAACTGCTTTTGTTAGTTCAGATGGTTACGACAGCTGATAGTGCGGAAAATTGATCCATTCAAAAATTCATTCACGCGGCATTCAGTTCAATTATGCAACGTTCAAAAAATTCATTGTATTATAGAACGCTTAACAACTACACTTAACAATGTATTACATTCACAAGGAAGGGTCACGAACTTACCCCCGCCTTTTGGAATGANCAAATAATTTTTGCTGCGGACAAGGGAGACGCGAGATATGGGGGGAAAAGGTTTTCAGTCAGTGTATTGAAGTGAATTCTGAATTTCGTTTGCCAGCGGTGGCTTGTCTTAGTGGACAGTGCGATAGACGTAAGAGTGGGTGTTCGGAGGTTCGGATCCCCATGCTGGAATAATTTTTTTCTCATCCATCTGTAGCATATTGAAGCTAACGTGATGTTTTGCTGCCCTCCCCACAACTTCTATCGTGGGGACATTTTATATTTTTTTGGTTTTTTGGTGTTTTTTGCTGTTTACATCTGATCATAATGAGCATGTCTATTCGCACGCTTGTGGATACATCCAACAACATCCGGATGAATTCGAAACAACGGTTCAAGTGTGTTTTCCAAACGACGTAACTCAAGATTGTGATATCAATAATTGTGATCAGTTTTCTTTTGTGAAGTGTTCTTATTGTAAATTGTATGTATGTTTGCATCATTTTATTGTGAATAGACATCAGTTTTCTTTTGTCAGTGTATTCAATGTACTGTACTTAACAATTCATTCAAAAATAGTGTTCAATTATAGAACGCACAGTGCTGTTCGAGTTGCATCGATTGGAATGTCATGTCAGTTCTTTGTGACGAACATGTGAACTATTTTTTGTGGCAAGAATTGTTTTACGTCAGCAGTTAAACGTGAATTGGCTGATTTATCACAAACGAACAACATTGTTTCATATTTATATCGTTATTCAAAAATGAACAATTGCTGTGCTCTAATTACGATTGAATGGATCAGGAAAACCGGGCATATGAAATGTTCGATAATGAAGATTGCATATTCTGAATACATTGCTGATACCAAAGCAATAGGCGACAATGTGTTGCAACTTGCAAACCAGTATTGAAATAAATGTGACATTCTAATTGAAATAAATGTGACATTCAAAAAAACTGACAGAAAATCTGTAGAAACCANTAAGTCATGTGAAAAACCGTTCTTGATAGTGTGGAGAGGCGTTCATTGGATGAGTACAAGAAAGAATACTCCAGTGTGATAAAAAGAAGAAATAAGACGCATGCTTGCTAATTTGAATTACAGTTGGATAAATGATTTGACGGCAATTAAAAATTCAATCAATATGATGCCACCGCAGTGAAATGCTGATTTAAGCATGCAGGCAACTGTTTCCTTAACATTTTATTGTCCCACTTACGACCATTAAAAAGTCCCACGGGAGTATGTATATCTTCCTTTTCCTTTTATGAATTCATTTCGCATTAAAACGCACTGAATGATGCAACGTTTCGCATCGGCAGTAAATTCAACATTCTAACGATAGACTGCTTGAAGAACGAATCGACAGTGTTGAGAGGCGTTCATTGGATGGTTACAAGAAAGAATACTTTTAAATCGACAAAAGAATCGAAACGCATAAAAAGTCTGAAAAGTAATTTCTACATCAAGCACCATCGATGATATTCCCTCTGGACTGACGCAAAGACAAATGCGATCGCAGTAATTGCAGTNTCAATGTGTCGTTGTGCTTTCATGACTGCAACCATTCAACTATTGTTTTGTACGGATTAACTGATTATGAAATCAAAGTGAAGATTGTGCCATCGTGAACTGAATTCCTAAAAGTAAATTTTAACGTTTTATTTGTGAAGTGAACAAATCAAAAACCACATATTATCTTGCTAGCTGAAATTCATGGATAACGTACTAAAAACGAAGTTCCAATATTTTTTTCTCAGTTTCTGATTTTCGGCTTCTCAATTTTTCGTTCGATTGTGAAGAATGTATTTATCGCTGTAGAGTCGTTTCACGAGACTGATGCTCTACGAGTAATGAGTGAGATCTTTCGTGATGTTGGGAATATGTTTTGGTCAAACGTTGAGAGAACGTTTCGGTTGCAAATAATATTTTCGTATAAAGCATGATTTCTCAAGAAAGGGTGTTCGCACCACCAAACGGCTCTAGGGGACTACAAGACAAGGTTTAATTTCTTGTGCATTAAAGTAGGCAAGGTCAGAGTTCAACGCATATATGTGTGTGAGGTAAGCGAGAATGGATTTTAACTTATATATTTTTGAAAGAGCTAGAACGTACTCTAATGGCTTGCACTTATTCACAGTACAGACACTCACTGTAGTGAATGAGAGACAGAAAATGGACGTTGTGAGGGGTGCCAGCACATTCGAAATTTTTTGGGGAGTGCATGGGAAAAAAGATTGAGAACCATTGGTAAAGGGTGAGCGGTGGTTCATCCAAATAGCAGCAAATATACGTGGACTGTATTAGTGTTGGGTCGGTATTCACCGACGGTCGGGGAATACCGAAAATCGGTCGGTAATCATCGACAGTTTTGCGGTATTCCCCGACCGTCGGTGAATACCGAGTTGCGGGGATTACCGAGAAAAATCTTTCGGTTCTCAACGCTAGACTGAATGTAACCGAGCGATTTTATAGCAAGAGAATAGAAAGGAGCAGAGGGGAAGGTTAGTTATCCCCTTACGCATTTGTTAAGCGAAAGCACAAATTAGTTTGTTAGTTACTGAGTCGAGGTAATCCAGGTTATTGTTTCAGTTAATGCTTTGAACTCTCTGGCCAAAATGGGGACACTTGAGGAAATTATCGGAACAAATGAAAAAACACTGAATGAAAATTTATAATGTTCATTGTCAAACAAGAGAAATACTCGAAAGCGTAATGCTTTTATTGAATATACAGTGACGAATACATCATTAAAAACTAATGTTGAACCAAAAATAATGGATGAAAGATTCAACAACGAATGAGCGTACAAAAACGAAAATCAGTGAAATGGGCAATGAGAATCCCTTAAATGAGATGCCTCGACGTACACACGTGAAACTGCACTTGCAAAATATAATGAAAGGTCGAAATTTCATGAGCAATT